AAAATTAAAAAAAAAAAAAAAACCTAGCCAGATAAAGTCCCTGAAAATTATTTATTCATTCATTCATTCATTCACTTATGAGACAGGATAGCACTACATAACCCAGGCTGGCCTTCATCTTGTAGCTGTCCTCCTGCCTCAGCCTCCCAAGTGCTGGGATTACAGGTATGTGCCACTATGCCTGGCATCAATGCATAAAATTAACCATTTTAACTAGAATTTTAAATTGCATAGTTCAGTGGTACTACATACACTGTTGAGTATCAGGCACCATCATCCATCTTCAAAATGTTCTGATATTCAAAAACTGAAACTCCAGTCTCCTTAACTGCTGCCTGTCCCTCCCCCAGCCCAGCCCTGCTAGTTTTTAAGCAAGAATTACAGTATTAAGCCAGGCATTTAGATTTTGGCATACGAGGACAATCCCAGATTCCTCACCCTTAGATACCAAGAGATGACTATACATAAAAGAAGTGCAAACAACTATTCAAACAATATTTGTATGTAACTGTTCATACCAGTAGTATTCAAATAACCAGGATAGAAAAACCTCAAATGTCTATTAATGGATGAATGGATAAACAAAATGTAACACACTATACCACAAAAAGCCCTCCAAATGAAGTACTGAAGTGAAATAAATCAGACCCAAAAGATACTGTATGATTTTACTTATACAAAATATCTAGATTAGTTGAAAACTCAGAGAGAAAGCAGAATAGAGAGAACCATGGGGGGAGGGTGAAATGGAAACTCTTTGCTTAATGGTTAGTTTATATGGGGTGATAAGGTTTTGGAAACCGTGATGGCTATACTGTACAAGTAGTTAATCCTACTGAACTGCGTATTTCAAAATGGTTCAAGTGGGCAGGGGTTTGCCTGGTTCTACACTGAAGCTCTCAAATAGCAAGTCTGGAGACCCTAAGAGCACACACCCCACATATACATCCAGGCATGATTAAAATGACAAATTTCATAAGTGTGCATGTATTTCTTCTCTTGTATTTCTTTTTTTTGTCTGTATTTCAAAAAATTGATGATATATGAGAACTCAATGGAACTGAATTGATGAAGGGTATGGTATTTCAATAAAGCTTTTTTTAAAAACTATTGCTTAAAAATGGTGAAAACTGAAATGTTTGATAAATGCTTTCACTATATAATACATAAATGGCAGGCACACCTGAGCACAGGCATCACATTCAAATCTAAACAGGAAGCACTGAATAGCTTACTGCTCACATTAGTTGAGGCAAGAACTATCTACGTGATGAAGGGCTTTGACTAAAAATACTGAACTGAGTGGAAGTGGTAACGATAAGCTGTCTTGGAGCCAAGGACCTTGACACACACCTGCAATCCAGCACTCTGGGAGGCTGAAGCAGGAAAGTTCCAAGTTGGAGCCCAACCTGGACTACTAATAAAACTGTCTCAAAATTAGAAACACAAAATTAAAAAAAAAAAAAAACAAAAACACAAAAAAGGGGACGATGGGATGTAGCTTGGGCAAAGGCCCTAGGTTCTCTCTAGTACGGGAGGGGGGAGCTGCTTGGGGTTTGCTGTATGCTTAAGAGAACAAAAAACAAAATAGAGATACAATGGAGAAGTACAGATTTGTAAATCAGAGAAAACTAAGTAAAATATGAACACAGCAATCAGCAATTTCCTTTTGATGTTGCTGTACCCTATGACAAGGCTCATCTCTGAAAAATACATGTATAGTCTTTCATCTGACGGAAAGCACTAAAAGGAATATTTTGTCCTTTTTTAAAGTCAAACAGCGATCGAGCACACAGCTCGGACACTTTATAGACAAAAATCCTTTAATTTCGATACAAGTGGAGACGTTACATAAAACTTCCAAAATCAAGGCAGACAAATTACTAGTCGGTTTTTTTCCCTTCCTTTTTAAAAACGGAACAGTGGCGACTCCCTTTCAAAGGGCGGGTGTCACTCACCAATTTCCTCTGATTCCTGCCCGGAGGCTCTCCGCTTGCACTCCGTGGGGTAGTGCTTCTGGATCAGATCCCACAACTCCGTGTTGATGAGGGAATTTCTCCGTGTGTGGTACCGCGTCCACGAGGAGACCCGGCGGCGACAGAAGGGACAGTACAAGCTGGCCTTCTCGACGGTGGCGCGGAAGCACGGGTTGCAGAGTGTGTGGCGGCAGGGCAGGGTCACAGGCTCCACCAGGATCTCCATGCAGATGGGGCACTGGCACTCGGACAGCGTGGGGACGGCGTCTGGCGACACAGCCATCTTAAAACGCTAATGAGGACTGGCATCCACAGCAGAAAGGGGAGAAAGTCTTTTGGCCAATTGTAGAGAAAGCAAATAGTTCTGTGTCTAAGGATAGAACCCAACAGCGTCTCACGACTCAGACACAAAGCGCTTCGAGCATCCTGGCAGCCAAAGGCGCTGGGAACGTCAGGCGGACGGTGACACCAGGCAAGGCGACCTTCTGCCCATTTTTATTTTTAAGTCAAATAATTAATGAACGTCTTCGCGGGGGCGAAGGCAGGAGCGGCGGAGCGACCCGGACGCGGCACCAAACGGCCTCCTCCTGCTCACCGTGTGTGGTGCTCCACTCCGCTCCGGCGCGACCTGGGTACTCCGGTTTGCCGTTGCCACTGGGCAGCCGCAGAGCCGTGGAGCGCCAGCGTTCCCGCGCCCGCCTCCGACACGCAGAGCTCAGCCCTCAGCGCCCGGCGCGCCCCTCGCTTCGTTTGTCCGCCTAGAAGCCGATTCGCCGCCGAGTCAGTGACGTCACTACTGCCCGCCAAACGTTCCCTCCCGCCCAGAGCCTCGTCCAACAGCGGAAGCAACTCGCGACTGGCTGGGCGGGACTTCCGGTACCTGTGTGCTCCTCCCTGCCCCCCGCCCCACCGTCGCAGCTGCTTTGTGTTACGCCAGAGAAAGGCCCAGCATTCTCCGCAGGTTCCTGTTTCACTTCTCAGACTGAAGACTTGAAGAAAAGGAAATCTACAGCCGGACATACTGGCGCACGCCTGTAATCTCAGTACTCGGGAGGCTGAGGCAGGAAGTTCGCTGTGAGTTAAAGGCTGGCCTGGGCTACATAGTTGAGGGTCAGCTTGAACTACAGCAAGACCCTGTCTCAAAAAACCAAAACAAAGGGGCTGGTGAGATGGCTCAGTGGTCTAAAGCACCTACTTAGAACAAGCCTAGCAAAGCACCTGGACCGCGGTTCAATCCCCCAGCACCACATGCCAGCCAGCCCCGTCCCCTGGTGGGCTGAGCTGGCCACACACACACACACACACACACACACACACACACACACACGGGAGTCTTCTGTATGCAAAATCACACACACACACACACACACACACACACGGGAATCTTCTGTATGCAAAACCTGAACCGCAATTTTTTTGGAGGGCATGACCCCGGGGCCCTGAACAGTAATTTTTGTAATTTTCCCTCAGCAATATCTTCAGACCTTTTTTTGTTTAAAGTTCTTAGCTTGAGAAAAATGTTAAAGAGTTGATTCCTTAATACTGATGCACTTTTTTTAATTTATGTTTTTGGTACAGGGTCTCACTACACAGCTCGGACTCAGTGGCCCTCCTGTTTTCAGCCTCCCCCGCTGGTATTACAGGCATGTGCCACCAGTCGCAATCTCGAGGGCCGCGGCCTCGGCGCTCAGGCGCCACCTGGGCGGAGCTAGCACAGCGTGGGATACGGGGATCGAACCCGATTCTGCGTTTGCCTAAGCAGGCACTTAGTCCGCTGAGCTATGTCTCTGGCCCTGTTCTTTCTTTCTTTCTTTCTTTCTTTCTTTCTTTCTTTCTTTCTTTCTTTCTTTCTTTCTTTCTTTCTTTCTTTCTTTCTTTCTTTCTTTGTAGCTTTGTAGCAAATGTTAAGTGTCACAGATTAGTCTGGTGTGGTAGTGCAAGCCTGTAATCCCAGCACTTGGGAAACTGAGCAGGGGGATCCCGGTGAGGGCAAGCCAAGCCTGGGCTACAAAATGAGTTCAAGGCCAGCCTGAACTGCAGAGCCTATCAGGAAAAGAAAAAAAAAAAAAAAAGAAAGGTTGCCATACATAACTAGTAGACTGTCATGTTGATTATACAGTAAAACACCATTTTTATCTGTACACTATTCAGCAATTTTAGATAGCATTAACAGATTGAATATTTGTTTCTTTGTAGAGCTTGTTTTATTTCTACTATAAAGATTTTGTCATACTGTATTTGCAACAAAGCTGTGTACCCACTCAAAGAAGTCATTGCTGCTGTTTGACTATTTGCATGCTAGACTTACCTCCTTACCATGTCTCTTTCCTGCTTCCCACCAAGGGTTGTCACTTGAATGAACTGTTGCTAACTAACCTCTTGACTGTTTCCCTTAATAGTAGAAATTTCTGTGGCAATGTAAATAAATTGCCAGAATTTCTTCATGATATATACATATTTTCTCCAAAACATATACATATATGTTTTTATTTTTATTAATTTTTTTTTGCAGTACCACGAATTGAACTTGAGACCTTGCACTTTCCAGGCAGGCACTTTTGCTGCTGAGCTATCTCCCCAGCCCTCCACGATATCTTTAACAGGAGGTACTCCAAAAATACGTTTAATTTGGAGTGCTGTAACATATGAGGGCACAGTTTTTCATTACAGTACAATTCCAATGTGTGTTAGCACCTGAATTTATTTTTCTAAAAGTCCTTCCAAGTATTAAAAGTAACGTAATCTATAAAAAATGTTCTTAATGTCAAAAGACAAAACTAAAATAACCTGCGCAGGGCTGGGAACATAGCTCAGTGGCATAAGCACCTCCCTGGTAAGCACAAGGTCCTGAGTTTGATTCCTGGCATAAAAAACCCCCAACTAATCTGGATGGAGTGGCACCTTCCTATAATTATAGTACTATGGGAGGCTAAAGCAAGAGGATACAAGTTCAACCCAACCTGGTCAATTTAACAATTTAGGGAGATCCTGTCTTTAAAAAGGCAAAATTACAGTAAATTTAATTTAAAGAACTTAATTAGCTTTTATTTGAAATTTTGAAAACTTTTTTTTTATGGGTTTGGTACAGAGTCTCACTACACAGCTTGGACTCTACTGATCCTCCTGTTTTCAGCCTCAGCGCTGAGATTACAGGCAGGCACCACCACGCCTGTCCCCTCTCAGTGACTGGTTTAGGCACCTGGGGGGCGGGGCTCACTCAGCATGTGGTACTAGGATCTAACCTGGTCATCCCTGCTTGCCTAAGCAGGCACTTAGTCGGCTGAGCTATCTCACTGACCCCTGCAGCTTTTTTTTTTTTTTTCTTCCTATTTTAATCAGGTTCCAGAGAACTGAGCTGATATAACCAACAGCAGATGGGTGGTTTCAAGTGTTTTCTTGTAAAGGTTAAAGCACAAAGGATTTCCTTTTGTTGGCTTGATTGGGGATTTGGCTGTTATTTTTTTCTGACTTTTTGGAAGGATAATTTTGGTTGGATGGCCTGGAGTTTCAGCATAAATAACTCTTTTGGTCTGATCTTCTGGGTATGGTGGACCAGCTCCTTTAACATTAGCGAAACATCTTTAAACTGAGTGTGGTGGCACTTGTCTGTAATCCCAGCATCAGGAAGGCTAAGGCAAAAGGGTTGCCACCAGTTTGAGGCCAGCCTGTCTCAAAATCAAAATCTTTGAAAAAGTTGATCCTAGCCAGGTGTGGTGGTGCATGCCTGTAATTCCAACACCACAGATGCTGAGGCAGGAGGATTCCTGGGAGTTCGCTGTGATCTGCATAGTGAGATCTTGTCTCAAAAAGAAATAAAAAAGAAGAAAAGGTTGATCTCACAGAAGGGTTGAAAGTTGTAGCGTAGAAACCAGAGTGGAAATAACTCATGAAGTGCATCTTTCCTTCTGTATTCCAGCCCCTTAAAGCCTGCAGCCAGAGATGAATTTAGGATTGGCTTCCCTTACTTTTAGACTTGGGCAATAAGGTTCAAGATAGGGTCAGTTCTGGGGCTTAGCTGTTTATGTTTATAAAGTCGGTGGACTTTACATGTGTGTAGCACCCACACCAGGCTAAGTGAACTTTTTTTTATGTATTTAGTACAGGGTCTACAGGGTTTCAATACACAGATTGGACTTGTAGTGATCCTCCTGTTTTCAGCCTCCCAAACACTGGGATTACAGGCACGCACCACCACGCTCAGCCATGAATTGAACCCCTGTCCCTGCTCCTGTCTAAGCAGGGCTTTAGTCCACTGAGCTATCTGGACAGCCCTCATGCCTGTTTCCTACGTGATTCACGTCCTCATTTGTTCCTGGATTTAATCGCTTTTACCTGAGCATTGGTGCTTGTAATCTCATTGGTTGACCATAGTTTGGTCCCACCTCATTCCCATCTAAGGGCGTTCCCATGTTTTACCTTAGACCTGCCTCATCACAGATTTTACTCTTTAAAAATCCCTGAAGAGACAGTTTGGGGCAACCCATTCAGGTCCCCTTCTGTCCCTCTCTGGGACAGAAGCTTTCTTTCCCCCAATAAATATATCCTGCTCTCGTAACCTCCTTGGTTCCTAAAATTCATTCTTTGGTTTTATTTTAAATGTATTTGGTACAGGTCCTCGCTATGCAGCCCCCAGGTCCTTGTGCTTGCCTAAGCAAGTGCTTAGTCCCCTGAGCTGTTTTGTCAGCCCTCATTCTTTGGTTTTAGAGAACATGAGTTCAGCCCAGGTATGTTTCAGGCTGAGAGTTTCATTCCCCCTGTATCACTAGTACTCTGGGAGACTGACCTGGATGACTTCGCAATTTATCAAGGCGCTGTCTCAAAAATTATTTATTTATTTATCTATTTATTTTTTCTTTTTTTTGAGACAGGCTTTCACTATGCAGTTTAGGCTGGCCTTGAGCTCACTTTGTATCCCAGGGTGGGCTCAAACAGGCCTCCTGCCTCAGCCTCCTGAGTGATAGGTTCCAGCCTGTGTAGGACCTGCTAATACCGAGTACCAGAATTATAGGTGTGTACTACCATGTCCCCTTCTATCTCAAAATTTTATTAGTTGAGCATATAACCCATTATACTGCCAAAATAATAATGATAAATTAATCAACATTTCAGATCTCACCATTGCCTAGGGGAGCCCTAACTCCTAGGCTCAAATGATCCTGCTGTATCAGGTTCTTGACTTGCTGGGATTCTAGGTACAGTGTGCAGTGCCCAGATAGCTCATTATTTTTTTTAAATGTATTTGTTAACAGGGTCTCACTGTGCAGCTGGGACTCATAGTGATCCTCCTGATTTCAGCCTCCCCAGCGCTGGGATTACAGGCATGTGCCACCATGCCTGGACCCAGTCACTGGCTTAGCCGCCTGAGGGTAAGGCTGGCAAGACATGTGGTGTGGGGGATCAAACCCTGTCTCTGCTTGCCTAAGCAGGTGCTTAGGGGGGCCTGCCAGTTAGCTTAGTTGTTTAAGCACTTGCTCATGCAAACGCAGTCAGGTGCAGGGGACCATGGTTTGACCCGCAGCTCCATATGCCTTACCAGACCCACCCTTAAGGCAGCCTGAGCCAGCAGGCACCCCCCCCAAAAAAATCCTTCTAAGCAGGTGCTTAGTCCACTGAGTTATCTTGCCAATTTTTGTTTTATTTATTTATTTATTTATTTATTTATTTAAACTTTTTGAGACAAGGTCTCATGCAGTTTAGATGGCCTTAAAGTTAATATGTAGCTCAGGTTAGCCTTGAACTCATATGATTCTCTTGCCTCAGTTCCCCAAGTGCTGGGATTCTAAGAGTGTGCCATCACATACAGTTTATTTGCCCTTTAATAAGTACTTCACATAGTTTAAATATCAGAATGTACAACAGACTAACAGTGAAAAAACGTCTGTTAACGTCCTCTTATCTCCAATCTTTAGTTTTCTTTCCTTAAACAGTATCATTTTTTTTAAAAATTTATTTATTGTGTGTGTGTGTGTGTGTGTGTGTGTGTGGCCAGCTCAGCCCACCAGGGGGCGCGGCTGGCTGGCATGCGGTGCTGGGGGATCGAACCGTGGTCCCTGTGCTTTGCCAAGCTTGTTCCAAGTAGGTGCTTTAAACCACTGAGCCATCTCTCCAGCCCCAAAAATTCTTTTTTTTTTTTTTTTTTTTTTTTTCAGAACCGGGGATTGAACTCAGATCCTTGCGTTTGCCAGTCAAGCGCTTATCCTACTGAGCCAACTCCCCGGCCCCTTATCATTTTCATGTGTAGCTGTGCAGAAGTTTAGGATAGCTGAGCTTTATAGCAGAAAATGCCCCCATCCATTATACTTCAGTGTGTTGGTTGCCCAAGTGATAGTTCCTGTTCCAGTTGCTTCTGGTTTCTTGCTGGTCACTGTGATCACAGTGTGTAAACCAATCCCCAATTGACAAGCCATTCTGCCTCTGTATCGGCTGTTTGCTTTTGTCATAGAAGCCCTAAACCATCAGAGGCCAGGGCCTGATATTCTGGGAATAATCCCAATCAGTGTCTGTCAGTGTAAAATCTGCCTCCAAATCCTGGGTATCATTTTAGCATCTCTGCTTGCTGTTAAAAGCTCATATGTATAAGGCTGGTGAGATAGCTAAAGCGCCTAAAGCGCCTGCTTAGGCAAGTTTAGGCAGGGACAGGGGACTGCAATTCGATCCCCGCATCACATGCCACGCCAGCACTGCTTTCAGGGTGCACTGAGCTGGCAAAAAAAAAAAAGCTTATATGTATATGTGCATGTTTTTACCTTTTTTCCACTTAATTATCCAAAGAAAATAAATATTTTAAAAGTATAACAACTTTATGAAAACTGCATATCATATAAATAGCTGCTTCATTCTTTTACATGGATGAACAGAAAATATGTAGTCTGTCAATTTATCATAATTCATTTAATGTTTCCCTTGATTTTTGCTGTAAAAATAACCCTACAGAAAGTAAATTGTGCCTTTTTTTCCTTTTCTTTTTTTTAATTTCCAAAATAAATGACTAGATGTTGAATCACTGGGTCAGAGGATGACAAGTTTTGTTTGTTTGTTTTATTTTGTTGAGACAGAGTCTCCAACTTACAGTGACCGCCTGCCTCAGCCTCATGAGTGCCAGGATTAGACAGGCTCATTTCTGACTGAAGGCAGCAACTCTTTTAGGGAGGACGGTCCTGCTTCAGGTGTCCTGGCTGCCTTTCCCTTGTCAATGACCTGGACCGCCCTCAGCAAACCTTCACGCAAGGCGCAGTGCTTCACCATGCTGGTGATCAGGAAGGTGGCGTCTCTGACATACATGCGTCTAGCTGTGGCGGCGTAGTGCTCTGCGGAGCTGCTGTGCACTATGAAGAAGACGCTGAGTGCGGCTATGTCTCCCTCCTGCAGCCCACTCTCCTCCAGGACTGACTCCCAAGCCACTCTGATGCGCTGGTTCTTGGCTTTTCGTCGAAGGACAGAGGTGAAGGTGGGCAGACCTCTCACCAGGTCTGGCAGCTTCTCAAGCACACGAGTGTGCAAGCAGGTAAGTACTTCAATGACATAGCTGTACAAAATATTCAGTTCCATTGAAGTGAACCTATGAGAAATGGAGCTGCATAAGCAGTAGAAAACCATGCAAACATAAACCACTCCATTAGGAGAACTCGGTACAGACCCTCTGGAAGACCCAACTGATGTCTTGGTTTGGTTTGGTTTTTTGAGACATGGCCTTCTGGTGTAGTTCAGCCTGGCCTTGAACTGTCAGTGTTCCTCCTGCCTCAGCCTCCCGAGTGCTGGGATTGTGGGGAGGGGCCACCATGCCCACCTTCATTTCACTTTTGGAATGAACACAGAAAGTTGTCACAGAACCACATTCCACTGATTTCTGCATCAGTACTCACTTGAGTGCCAGAACCGCCATCCACAGCTCATCTTGCTGAGCTTGGCTTGCCAAAGTCTTGCTATGGTTTTTAAATTTCTGGGTCAGATTATCCTTGGTGATGTCAAGTTCTCTGAACTGTGCTTCTAAAGCTTGGAGTTTATGGCCTACCCTATAGGGCAGAATAATCAAGGTTAGATCAGGGAACAAAATGTGGATTTGTGACGTAACATAAGACTCTAATGACATTATTTACAACCATTACCAGTTTGGGTTTTGTTTATGTTTGCTGTGCTGGTGATCAAACCAAAGGTCTTGTACTCACCACCAAGCTACACCACCAGTCCCTAAATACTTAAATTTCAAATTATGAATAGATGTTGCAATCGTTTGCCAGTTCTCTCTGGTCCTCATCCTTGTTCTTTCATTCCTTGTATTGTTAGACTTTTGAGTTGTCTAATTGCTTGACTTATTTGTCATATCATGTCTTTGTATTTATATTTTATAAAGTTGTTTTTATTTGTTTGTTTTCACTTTTCAGTTTTTTTTGCTTTCTTGTCTTTCTTTCTTTCTTTTTTTTTTTTTTTCTTTCTTTCTTTCTTTCTTTCTTTCTTTCTTTTCTTTCTCTCTCTCTCTTTCTTTCCTTTCTTTGGTGGAACCGGGGATTGAACTCAGGCCCTTGCGCTTGCCAGGGAAGTGCTTAATCCACTGAGCCATCTCCCTGGCCCTCTTTCTTTTTTTTTGGGGGGGGGGAGCCAGGGGTTGAACTCAGGCCCTTGCGCTTGCCAGGCAAGCTTTCTTGTCTTTCTTGAGACAGGATCTCCCTGTATCAATCAGGCTGGTGTCAAACTCACAATCTTCCTGTCTTAGCCTCTCAAGTGCTGAAATTACAAGCATGTACCACTACTAAAGAGTATTTTAGTCTTTTTTTTTTTTAAATTTTGTGGAGGGTCTCACTACGCAGCTCAGACTCTTAGATTCTGCTATTTTCAGCCTCCCCAGTGCTGGGATTACAGGCATACACTACCACACCTGGTTTTGGTTGGCCAGCATGGCATGTGGTACCAGAGATCAAACCTGGGTCCTTGTACTTGCCAGGCAGGCACTTAGACTGCTGAGCTATTTCCCCAGCCCTGAAGAGTATTTTATACAAATACTGCAGTAATCCTTATAACTCTAAGAAGTAAAGCAGTAATTTTTACTATTTTTCAGACGGAATTTGAATCTCTTTTTTAAAAATTAATTTTAGTGAGAAAGAAATAACAATGAGACAGTTTCAGAATAGGTTAGTTGAGTCTCAAAATGATTGAAATTTGATGTCATTCCCAGTGAGCCCAGAGACCAGTATATAATAAGATGGCTTTTATTTTTGTTTGATTTTGGTTTTTGAGACAGAGTCTCACTGTATAGTTTAGGCTGCCCCTGAACTCACTATGTAGCCAAGCCTGGCTAATTTAATAAGGTAGCTTTCTCTACCCTATTTTCTTTCTTTCTCTCTCTCTCTCTCTCTCTCTCTCTCTCTCTCTCCCCCCCCATTCTGTGTCCAGATCTTATTCCTTTCAAGGACTAACTCAAATTCCATTGCCTCTATATGTACATTTGTGGTGTGTGTGTGTGTGTGTGTGTGTGTGTGTGTGTGTGTGTGTCCTGTAGCACATTCCCACTGACCTATGCCCCCAGATCTGATGCCTGCATTCCACTGCATCCTTTCTACCTGAAGAACTCCTTGCCTTGTCCCTAGATCTACAGCCTGCCTCAGTTAGCATCTGTCTAACACATCCCCTCCTCTTCATGTCCACTAAACCAGGTTAGATCAGGGAACAAAATGTGGATTTTTATTTGTAACTGTGCCCTGGCTTCAGCCTCCAATCCAACCTGCAGATGTGTTCTTCTAAAATACAGTTATAGTCATGGAATACGACAGATGATATTCCTTTATTGTAGTTTAGTTTTTGAAGTTTTGAGACAGGCTCTTACTATTAGTCCAGACTGGCTTTGAATTGACTGTGTAGTCTAGGCTGGCCTCAAACTTATGGCAATCCTCCTGCCTGAGCCTCCTGAGAACTGAATTTATAATTGTTCACTGTCATGCCTGGTGATGTCCTTTTTTTACCACCCTGATTTGCTCTGTGAAATCTTCAGAACCAAATTGGAACTCCCAAGGGGGAAATAGTTTTCATCCCTAGCTTTCATTTCTGCCCGTCCTCTTACACAGCCTAGTCAGTAATACATGGCTTCTCTGTACTTTCTTCTCAATCTAGAATTGCTTCCCATCTTGCATTTTTTCATAAACACCACTCACATTTTAAGATCCAGCTTAAATGTCCCTCTGTGAAGAGTCAGTTTTCTTTGGATTATCAGAGTCAGTATTGATTATCCTCCCTTCACATTCTTTAGTTCTTTAGAAACATCACCAATATAAGGTCACATGCATCAAATTGTATTTTTGAAGCTGGGTACAGTGACGCAGACCTGTAATCTCAGCACTTGGGAGGCTGAAGGAGGAGGATCAGGAGATTGAAGTTAGCCTGGGCTATAAAGCAAGACCCTATCTGAACACCACTTCCTCCTGCAAGTTATATTTTTCAGTAATTCTATCATTCCTACAGGCTGTGCATTCCTCGAGGACAGAAGTCACATTTTACTTGTCTTTACTTTTTTCCCCTGAAGGAAAGAGCTTTTATTGAAGGTTGACCAAGAAGCCAATAAGGTATCAGGAAACCCCTCAATTCTGTCTCCCTGATTTGTTGGTACTGTTTATTTTCGTAAATCTAAGCATTTGATACAGGCAAATGAATGAAATGATAGCACAGGGAAGCAGAGTTCTCTTTATTATTAATGTACTTTTTTTGAAATCTGAAGAGCTAAATGACCTTAAGACACAATCGGATGAGCCTGCCTGTCTTCCATGCCCACTCCATTCATTCTTTCCTTCCCCATCTTCCCTAGTGAGCAGACCCAAGCATACGCCCTCCCCAGAGCCCTTAGCAACCTTTTCATCGCCTCCGTCAAGGACACCAGGGTTGTGGTTTCTGTGCTCATCTTCTTAAAGCAAAACACAAGAAACAAAGGAAAGCAAAACAAAAACCCAATAGATATTTGAACTCAGAGCTTTCTGCTGTTTTCCACTCAGCAACAGGCAGCAGCAATTTTAGCATTTGATCTAACTTCTGCCTGAAAGGTCACTTAGTACAGAAGCTTTTAATAGCTTGCACATCCAAATATAGTTCAAAGAACTGATGGTGTGAACACAGGTGTCCTGGTGTGCACTATAACCTTTGCCTTTGAGTGGGCAGGCCTTATAGCTCAGCGGACTAAAGCGCCTGCTTAGGCAGAGCACAGCAGCCAGAGTTCCATCCGGCCCCACCCCCGCCCTCAGGACACCCTGAGACACAGATTGAGACTGGGCTTGGTGGGGCAGGCCTGTAATCCCAGCATTAGGGAGGCTGAAAACAGGAGAATCACTAGGAGTGCAATCTAGGTAATGAGACCCTATAGATCTTGTCCTAAATACAGGGGAAAAAAACAAAAAACATTTGCCTTTGAAAACTGATAGTGCCTGCTGTGGTGGCACATCCCTGTAATCCTAGCACTGGGGAAACAAGGCAGGAGGATGGTCACGAGTTAGAGGCCAACCTGGGGTACAGAGTGAATTCAAGTTCAGCCAAAACTACAAAACAAGACCGTGACTGGGCATGGTGGCGCCCGCCTGTAATCCCAGCACTCGGGAGGCTAAGGCAGGAGGATTGCTATGAGTTCTAGGCCAGTCTGGGCTACAAAATGAGTTTAAGGCTAGCCTGAACAGTACAGTGAAACTCTGTGTCAAAAACTCAAAAAATACAAAAAATTTTTAAAAGTAATAAAGGAAGGCTGTCTCAAAATCAAAACAAACTTACCCATAGTACATGGTTATAGAGCAATATATAGATGTGACTGTATATTCTGGTATATGTATATACAGAGATACCTATATGTTGTAGGATTCAATTTGATGGAAATGTTGCTCTCATTTTAACATCTTCATTATTCAATTACAACCTAAAGTAGGCAGAAGGGTCATAAGTTCAAGCCCAGCCTGGAAATTTTACTGGCTTAGTGAGACCCTGTCTCAAAATAAAAAATTTAAAAAGGGTAGGGTTGTAGCTCAGAGTGAAGGTCCTAGGATTAAGCAATCACTAGGTTGGCAAATAACAAAAGCAAAATTCTAAAACCAAAAATCTGAGAATCCCTGTGTTCAAGAAATTAAACAACTAATTATGGGTACAGAAAAACAAATTTAGAAAGAGAAAAGATATAAAATGGTGTGTGTTAAACAGGTACAGACCATAAAAAATAGAAGATGGGAGAGTAGGTTACCAAAATTGTGGGTTATTAGGGAAGTTCTCATGGTGAAGTGGAATTTATCTTGGCCTTTTTAAAGGAAAATATAATTCTTTAATTAGGAAGGACTTGTGAGTGGGATTTAAAATTGGAAAAATAATGTATGAGCAAAAATCATAGAGATGGGGGCTGGGGAGATGGCTCAGTAGAATAAGCACTTGCCTGGCAAGCACAAGCACTTGAGTTCAATCCCTGGTTCTGAGAGGAAAAAAAAAAAAAATCATAGAGCTGCCAAGGTAAATGATGTGTGCAGGAAGCAATGAGTGGCTACATTTTGAGCAAACCATTCATGTGGGCTGAAGGAAACAGCAAGAGCATTTTAACTGGGCTGGGAGATAACTTGGCGGTCTAAGCAGCAGCCTGGCAAGCACAAGGACCTGGGTTTAATCCCTGGTACCGCATGTTGTGTTGGCTCCAGAACCCTGGGCACCCTGTGCTGGCCACCAAAACCAGGCCTGGTGGCACACCCCTGTAATCCTAGCACTGGGGAGGCTGAGACAAGAGGATCACTATAAGTACAAGCTACATAACAAAGCCCTGTAGCAAATAAGTAAATAAACGATTTAAAAATATTTTTAAAAAGAATATTTCAACCGATAAGAGCTAAGTGTAACTGTTAATTATCTGAATAATTGCCTAATCCAATATCTACTGAATATGACAAATATTAATGGATAAAACTTAGGAGTGAATGGACAGCATGCTTTTAGACACTAGGAAGAAATACTGTTTTTTTTTAATTTTTTTTAATTTATTTATGTGTGTGTGTGTGTGTGTGTGTGTGTGGCCAGCTCAGCCCACCAGGGGGTGGGGCAGGCTGGCATGTGGTGCTGGGGGATCGAACCGTGGTCCCTGTGCTTTGCTAAGCTTGTTCTAAGTAGGTGCTTTAGACCACTGAGCCATCTCACCAGCCCAAGAAATACTGTTGAAGGAGGTAAAAATCCTTGTCCATAGGGAGCATATAATAAAGAGGTTTCCCTTCCTGTCTCCCAACTTTCCCTACAGTATTCTCAAGGTCCACCCATACTTTTTTTGTTTGTTTGTTTGTTTTTGTTTTTGGCGGAACTGGGGATTGAACTCAGACCCTTGTGCTTGCCAGGGAAGCATTTATTCAACTGAGCCATCTCCCTGGCCCCTGGTCCACCCATATTGTGATGTGCATATTTATTTCATTTCTTTTTATTGCCAAATAATGGTCCACTGTATGTTATTATGCAGTGATGTATGTCCCCTCAAATTTTGTTGGTTGAAGCCCCAACCTGTAGTGTAAATGTATTTGGAAATGAGGCTTTTGGGAAATACAAATAAAGTTAAATGAAGTGATAAGAGTGAAACCCTAACCTAATATAGTTGGCTTTCTTATAAGGAGAGGAAGAGACATAAGGGATTCGCCCACACCCAAAAAAGGCATGTGAATTATTTAGGGTGTGAAAGTGGATGATAGCAGGATGAAATCATTCTTGTCAGACTCAGACAAAATTAAAGCCAGAAAATAAAGGAGAGGCTCCTGTCTGCCTACGATAAACACTGTTCCCAGCCTTTCTCCATGCCCTGTAGGACACTTTCTCCTGCCACATACGCTCTGTGCTTTGCACAACCTCACCTGTACACACTGATTTTTCTAACAAAGTCCATCTGTGCTGCATCATCAGGCTGTCCTTAAACTCCTGGCTTCAGCAATTTGACTAACTTGGCCTCCTAAGTACAGCTCCTATGTGGGTTTCTAAATCTTTTTATGCATAGCTCACTTCTTTTTGGTACTGTGCCCTATGAACATTAGCTTCCTTGGTCTCCACAGGCTCCTTTGTGACCCCAGGTCAAGAAATCTGTCCTTATTCCCTTGGGAGCCTTCTCTGTGCTGGTATTTGGCACATGCCACTAGGTAGAAGGCTGGGGAGAGTGGAGGGCTTACTTTTTGTCCCTTTCAGTAATGTTGTCCTATGCTGCCCATAGTCTAATGACTACAACAGCTCCTTCACTTGGGTTTTGCAGTTACCTAATTTCTTTTCTTTTTTGTACTGGGGATTGAACCCATGAGTGTGTGTATGCTAGACAAACACTGCACCATGGACCTGCATGCCCATCCCTTTTTAAATTTTATTGCATTTTGCCAAATTACGCAGGCTGACCGTGAAATTATGATCCTCCTGCTCTAGCCTCCTAAATAGATGTGATTACTGGGACATACCTGGCTTAGACATTTTTATTTATTTGTTTATGTTTGTTTTTATGTATTTGGTAAAGGGTTTTACTGTACAGTTCAGACTCATAGTGATCCACCTGTTTTCAGCCTCTCCAGGGCTGGGCTTACAGGGGTGCACCACCATGCCTGGTTTAGGGACAGTGCACCCAGGGGCGGGGCCTGGGGGATATGTGGTGCCAGGGATCAAATCCTGGTCCCTGCACTTGCCTAAGCAGGTGCTTAGTCACCTGAGCTATCTTGTGAGCCTGGCTTAGACATTTTTAAATCAACAAGGGTGAATCTGATTTAGAGCTAATGTGATGAAGCACTGATTTCACAGGATAAAGATAAAACATTTTCTTCATTTATTGATTTATTTACTCAATAAGAAATAGTTGACTGCTTAGGCAGGTGCAGGGGTCAGGAGTTTGATCCCCGGGCCTGCTCATGCCAGCCCTGCCCACGGGGCACACTAAGACTGTGATTGTGACTGGGTATGGTGGTTTGAGCCTGTAATCCCAGCACTGGGGAGGCTGTAAACAACAGAATCACTATAAGTCTGATCTATGCAGTGAGACCCTGTAGACCCTGTCCTAAAATACAAAAAAAAAAAAAAAAAAAAAAAAAAAAAAAAAAAAAAGAAAAAGAAAGAAAAGAAAAAGAAAGAAAGAAAAAGAAATAGTTGATAGAGACAGCACTGGGGCAAGTGAGAGCTGGAGGGGCACTGGGCAACTCTCTACCTCACTGAGGAAAACAAGCAAACATGGGCAAAGGAGACCGTAAGGAGCCGAGAGGCAAGACGTCATCATGTGCATTCTTTGTGCAAACTTGCTGAGAGGAGCACAAGAAGAAGCACACAGATGCTTCTGTTAACTTCTCGGACTTTTCTAAAAAGTGCTCAGAGAATGGGCTGGGGAGATGGCTCAGTGGAATAAGCACTTCCCTGGCAAGCGCAAGGGCCTGAGTTCAATCCCCAGTTCCGAAAAAAAAAAAAAAAAAAAAAAGTGCTCAGAGAGGGAGAAGACCATGCCTGCTAAAGAAAAAGGAAAATTTGAAGACATGGTCAAAGTGGAAAGGCTCGTTATGAAAGAGAAATGAAAACTTACTCTACCCCTACAGGAGAAACGAGAAAGAAGCTCAAAGATCCCAGTGTGCCCAAGATACCTCCTTCGGCCTTCTTCTTGTTCTGTTCTGAGTACTGCCCAGAAATCAAAGGAGAACATCCTGGCCTCTCCATTGGTGATGTCGCAAAGAAACTTGGAGAAGTGTGGAATAATACTGCAGCAGATGACAAGCAGCCATATGAGGAGAAGGCTGCTAAACTGAAGGAAAGGTATGAAAAGGACATCGCTGCCTCCTGGGCTAAAGGAAAACCTGCTGTAGCGAAAAAGGAGTCATCAAGGCTGAAAAAAGCAAGACAAAGAAGGAAGAGGAGGAGGAGGAAGAGGAGGAAGAAGAGGAGGATGAATAAGTTGGTTCTAGTGCATTTTTTTTTGTTTATAAAGCATGTAACCCCCCCTGTACACAACTCACTCCTTTTGAAGAAAAAAAATTGAAATGTAAGGCAGTGTAAGATTTGTTTTTAAACTGTAGAGTGTCTCTTTTT